TGACAGGAAGACAGAGCAGGTGGCCCCTTGCCCAGGTTCAACCATGTGCTTTGTTTCTGCGTTCCATGTTTCATTGACAAGGGCTCTGCTGCTAGGTAAATAAAATAATCCCCCCCAACAATGAAAGCAAAAGCCCCCTTTAAAGGTGACCCCCAGGTCTCTTCCATCCTGATATCGTATCTCCCACCTCCCAGGGAAGATGAGCCAGTAAGGCCCAAAAGGACATGGCTGTGTGGGAGGGTCGGGGGGGGCGCGGTCTGGCTGGGGAGACTAGAGCACTGCAGGAAGACCAAGCTGGAATGGTAGGAAGAAGGGACGAGGGCCTGGGGGGCGAGCGGGGTGGTGCCTGCTACTGGAGGCCACCTCCCTCCTCTGGCGAGAGGCCAGGGGAACTGCCCCATCTCCGGACTCTGGGCACCAAGACCTTCCCAGGGAGACCCCCTGGGCTTATGCACACCACGCCTTCAACCGGCTGCAGGCTGCTCGGATGCCACGTGTAGTGATTTTGCGGCTGTCCTGGGAGGAGCTCAGGTACTCGCTTGCCAAGGTGCCCAAAATCCCTCCAGCGGCACCCCTTCCTCCTGTCAAGGCCCAGGTGCCCACGCACAGTCAGCAGGCAGGGAGGCTATTGGGTTACCCACTCAGGGGCAGGCAGGGCTGTTAGTTTCTTATAAATTGGCCCATCAGATGCGCTGGGCCTCCAGAGGGTATTGTCATTGACACTGGGAAGTTTGGTGGAGGTTGGTGAGAGGGTGAAGGGGCGCTGGGGAACCCGTGTCTGAGACAGGAAGACCAGGGGCATCTGTGTATGTGGGAGGGTACCAGTCATCACAGGCAATGCCTAGCGCAGGCCTGTCTCTGCCATGGACTGCCGGTGAGGCCTCAGTTTCCCCATCTGGGAATCAAGAAGCTGACTTCAACAGTGTCACTGGAGTCTTTTCCGGGCTGACATTCCAGACTTCTAAAAGCCCAGAACTCTAAGATACGGTTATTTGTTCCGAGCCCCCCAGGCACCAAGCTCTGGGCAGATTTCTGGGGCACCCTGGGGGTCACCAGACCACACCTGCCTTCTCCCTGTCGCATCCTTGAACACGGCCAGGAGTTGCAGTGCAGGCAGCCAGAAGGGGTGGCCCCTGCAGATGCCAGTCTAGTCTTCCTGCCAGGGATGCTAGGGGCCACAGGTGATTCCGTAGCAGGGTGGAGGAGGCTGGGGAGGAAGCATGAGACTTGAGCCAGCCATCATCATTGAACTGTAAGCTCCAGAAGTCTGGGGAACCTCCAGGCCTCTCTCACCCAAGGAGCTGGCCTGGTCCTTGGAGGGCCTTCAGTCTGTCCTCTGAGGCCAGGGAGACACAGACTTCCCATGGACACACAGCGGTCTCTAGTAGCAGACCTGGGTCCAGAACCCAGATGTCCAGACTCTCATCCACCATCCCGGAGCAGCTGCCTGCCACCCTCCCTGCCACTCCCCTCCCAGACCCCGGCCCAGCCTTGCCGCTTTTCTGTTCTGCCAGGGTGTATGGCTGCAGCCGCCAGGAGCCTGTGGTGGAAGTCCTGGCATCGGGGGCCATCATGGCGGTGGTCTGGAAGAAGGGCCTGCACAGCTACTACGACCCCTTTATGCTCTCCGTGCAGTCGGTGGTCTTCCAGGGTGAGGGGTGAGGGGACTCTGGGGCAGGGGAGGGGTGGTGGTAGAACCCCAGGGTCCTCCACTGGGCTCACTGCTCACCTTTTTGCCCAACTTGGGGACGGGATGGAGAGGGAAGGTTCTGGAAGCTCCTGCTGCTCTCCACTCCCCACCCTGGCCCCACTCTTCCTTCCGCCATTTGCACTTCCACCCCGCTCTGCCCCTTGACCCTTCTACCCGTTCGCAGTCTCTGTCTTCCCGGCATCGCTCCCTCACTTCTCTCCTCTTTCCCTCTCCATCCTTCTTCCTCCTTTTCTCTTTTCTGTGCTGACTGCCTCTCCTCCCTCCTCACCCTCCTGGACCTGTGTCCCCTCCCCTCTGCCCCTCCCTGCCCTCTTCCCTCGGCACCCACCAGTGGCTGGGCCTGGAACACCGGTCTGTTTGCAGCAGGACTCAGAACTCCTTGGATTCTGCCCTAGACAGTCCGCTTATGGCCAAGAGGGCACAGGGAGCTTGGGGAGGCATGATGGCAGCACAGCCAGGCCAGGGCCACCGGTGTGACAGGTCCCCCACTGCCCTCCCAGCCCCCACCCTCCTCCTGCTTCAGGACCTCCCGCCTTGCCCCCTTCCTAGGAAGGGCATGTCCCACTCTGCACTGGACAGCTGTCCTGGGCCGGGGCCAGCCATACCTCTGGGCAGGAAGCTCAAACTTTGCCATTTCTGGAGCTTGGGAGGGGAAGATGGCAGAGAGGAAGCCACAGAGTGTTGGCAGCTGCTTCTCCCCCGACCCTTGTCCCCAGTCTGCTCCCTCCCACTCAGGGTCCCTGCCCTCTTCTCAGTTTATCCCTAAACTCTCTGGCAGGGACCAGGGTCCCCAGCTGGCCAAGCTGGAGCTCTAAATGGGTAGCAGAGCTGTTCTCTTGGGAGTCTGACACAGGCTCAAGGCAGGAGGGAACAAACGGCTTTGGGGGCCCTGGCCCCATGGAGAGATGGCCAGGGCAGCTGAGCGTGCTCCTGTCCTGACCCCTGGACCCCTCAGCTTCTCACTGTGTAGCCTCAACCAAGCCACTCCTTTTCTCCAAACCTCATCTTGGAAAAGGGGAACAGCTCTCTCTCTCCCAGCCGCCACCGTGAGGCCTGCGCAGGTGTGAATGCATTTTGTAAACTGGCGGGTGCTGTCCCGCAAATGTCAATAACTAACACGGATCGAACACTTACTACATGCCAGGCTGTTTGAATGTTTTATGTCTTTTTAATCCTCTTTACTACCCTATGAGGTGTGTGCTATTATTGTCCCCATTTTACAGATGAGGAAACTGAGACCCAAGTTCACACAGTTACACTTAACCACAGCACTTTGCTGGCAGAGGTGGTAGGGGTGGTGGGGTTACAAGCTGCGCTTGCCTGCTGGGAGGTGCAGCCAGGGGACCCCGTGTAACGGCTGCTCTCCTCGTCCAGCCTGCGAGGTAAACCTGACGCTGGATGACAGGCTGGACTCCCAGGGCGTCCTCAGCACCCCGTACTTCCCCAGCTACTACTCGCCCCGAACCCACTGCTCCTGGCACCTCACGGTGAGACCCCACCCTGCCTGCCCACCTGTCCTCTGCCCCAAGCACAGCACCGGTCCCTGGTAACCCGGGATGAGAGCGGGCAGTGTCCTGCTTCTGCTGAAGCGCCCACAGGCTGAGCCCTGGGTACCAATCCTGCTAGGGTGGAGAGGGGTATGGGCGAGGTCTCCCTCTGTGGATCACAGCAATGCCTGTTTGTTGAGTGACTGACAGACTTTAGCCCCACCTGGGATTCTATGTCTCCTTCTCTTTGTTGTTAGGGAGGTGGGTTCACCAATCTGGCCACACCCCATGGGCCACCTGATGGCCCGCTCCTCCCTCCCAGGTGCCCTCTCTGGACTACGGCTTGGCCCTCTGGTTTGACGCCTACGCACTGCGGAGGCAGAAGTATGATTTGCCGTGCACCCAGGGCCAGTGGACGATCCAGAACAGGAGGTACTACTTCCTCTCCTCCCTCCAACTTCCTTTCCTCCCTCCCCCTCCCTCTCCTCCCTCCCCTACAGGTGACCCCCTCATTGGAAGCCCAAGTCCCCAGCCTCAGAGGGACAGCAGGGAGAGCCAGCAGAGGCTGGGGCTGGTGTTGGGCCTGTTGTCCTCGTCCCGGTCCCCCGCTGTGGCCCCAGCTTCCTCTCTAGCTACCCCAGCAGTCTCAGACACTCTTGGTCATCAGACACCTTGGATGTTGGTTCTAATTACAGCAAAATAGTCTCATCTCCTTGGGTGCTGTAACCCCCTCTGGCACCCTCAATTCTTCAATAAAATGATTCCAGAGCCAAAGGACTCATGGGCACTTCGGTGCCTTCCCCCTAAACCCAAGGTGTACAATCCAAGGGACCTCTCCCTTATTATGACCCCCTGATGCACAGCCAGGTCCAATCCCATTGCACAGGGTAACATGGAAATCACGGGTGCCCTGGATCCCCCGAGTCCCCAACAGGGCACTTGCCCTCTTCCCTGCTCTTGCCCTTGCCCCCTCTGGTAACTAAGTTTCTGACAAAGAAGTGAGTCCTTCCAGGGATGTGAGCAAGAGACAGCAGAGTTAGGCTGAGCGACCACCGTCACCAGGGTCACTATGGCAGGAGGCCAATAAGTGCCCCCTGGGCCTGGCCACCAGGAGGCCATGGGTGTTGCCAGCAGCTTCAGAGGCCTGGGGTGGGCAGGGAGGCAGGGAAACAGAGACAGCGTATATGGACAGCTTTTCATTTGTCTGGGAAGAAAAGAGAACTAGGCAATTCAAGGAAGGGGCATTTAAGACAGGAGAGGTTCCGTATCTCAAATGTGTGGATCATCCCAGCATCCCCAGAGGGAGAGAAGGAGGCTCAGGTACAGGTAATATTGTTTAGAGGGTGGAGGGTGGGCAAGAGGAGAGGGAGGCCCTCCCACGGCTCCATTGTTGGGGAGCAGAGGTTTGGGGAGAGAGAAGAGGAATATTGAAGCAGCGATGGCAGAGCCAGGGAGACCCTTCCCCTGGGAATCCAGGGTGAAAACGGTCATCGTGTCAGCGTCAGGAAAGAGGAGACTACCCCTCATCACAGACTGGGCTCTGCCCTCCCTTCCAACCCCAGAATTCTGGGGGCCTAATGGGTTGAGAGTCTAGTACGCAAGATTCATCATTTCTTGGTTTCACAGAGTTTGAATATCCAAGATGCCAGTCTTGGAAGATGCCAAAATTGGAAGGCTCTGGGGCTCTAGAATTCTTGGATTTCTGGGGTCTGAGTTCCCATTCACCAACACTTGTAATTTGCTTGTTGGTTGATCCTATTCAAAAGGATCATCCAGACAAAAGGTGACAGAGAATGACAAGGTTTGCTTGACTCCCTTTTTGCAATTTATCTGGGACTAGGATTAAAGGAAAGGAGAAGAATTACCCATGGTATGATTTAGGACTATGCTGTTGGGGGTGACATGGGAAGTGACTTTGGGCCTGTGCTGCTGGGGGTGACATGGGGTGTGACTTCAGGCCTGTGCTGTTGGGGGTGACATGGGGTGTGACTTCAGGCCTGTGCTGTTGGGGGTGACATGGTGAAGCAGTGGCTTCAGGGCTTTGCATTTGGTGATGATATGCTGATGGAGTGTGACATCAGGCCTGTGCTGCTGGGGTGACATGCTGGTCCGGTGACATCAGGTCTGTGCTGTCTGGAGAGAAGGCATCTGTAGCATGATGGGGGCACCTCTGGGAATGGCTGCCCTGACCCTCATGGAGCTCCCTTGGGGCTGCCTTGCTGCTCACTTAGGCTGAGGATGGCTGGCCTCACCCCCGCTCACAGGAACCCGCAGGGTGACCCTGAGATGGATCCATGATTCACAGTTCTGCGAATGATGAGAACATGTTTTCCTGCCTCCCGCCCTACCCCAGAGCTGAACTTTATGTCTCAGGGAGGCTCAGAAAGGAGAAGGAACAGTCTTGGGTCTGACACCCCCATCTCATCCCTCACCCCCATGGCAATTCCATTTGCCAGAGGTGGGGCCCCAGCATTCAGGGGTTGTGGGGAGTTCAGTGGCCTGGAGTTAGGGGCTAAGACAGGTGTTCAGTGCATTGGCCCAACAACCTGTGTGGTCATTGGCACCGTTCCCATTTCCCAGAGAAGAAAATCAAGGCTCGGCAGGATTAGGTAACACGCAGATAGGTCCACAGTTGGGGTCTCTCCCATACCCCACCAACCACAAACGGCAGGCCAAAGGATGCTCCACCCCATGCTTCCTGGGGGAGGGCCCTCCTCCCTCCCTGATGCAGTCGGGCAAGGGTCTGGGTACTGGGGACACAGGGACTTCGTGAGCTACCCTTGGGTAATGACAGAGAGAGTGTGGAACACGGATGGGAGAATCTTTTCCCTAATCCAAAGGAATGATGCCTCAATGGTGAATTTGAGGCGCTAGGACAGCTTCCAATGGGGTGGAGGGATCTCCCCAGAGTCTCTGAGCACCATTGAGCTAGAGAACGTGTGGGCTGGACTGGTCCTAGCACCCAACCTATGGTACAGGTGGGGAAACTGGGATCAGCGATGGTTAAAAGGACTTGGCCTTTTGTCCCTGTCTTTTCTGCCTTTCAGTGGTGGAGATGGACGTCAGGGTGTAGCTAAGCGGTGGCTGGGTGGTGAGGATGAGGCCTGGCAGTTCCCCGTGCCCCCACAGCTCCCCTCTCTCTGTCCAGGCCTCCCTTGCCATATGGGGGTGGAAGTGCTCAGTGGAATCTGGCGTCAGGGTTTGCATGGATCTCTAGATGCGCTCCCTTCCTTGTCTGTGAAACAAGGGGTTCAGGCCAGCCCCAACCTTTGATTACTTACCCATCAGGGAGATGCTGTCTCCCATACAAGTTGCGTTTATTAATTCCTGGCCAAAGGCCATTCCAAGTCAGGCTGGTGAGGCAGAAAGTGCTTTAGTGTCGAAACCAGACAGGCCAAGGCTCAGCACCTGTCTCCTCTGCTTCCTACCTGGGCGAGGACTTAGATCTCCCAGCCTCAGGTAACTCATCTGAAAAAAGGTCGTGAAAGAGACCCCCGCCCTGGGAAGACTAAGTGAGACAGTGCATGGAGAACACTGCACACGTGGGTGTGGGTCAAGTGCAGCGACCCTGCGTTCCTCACCGGCCGTCACTCCGCTCTGGGCAGGCACAAGCTGAGGGGTTTACGGTGCTGGCTCTTTCAGCCTCAACAACCCAGCGAGGAATCACGTGCCTGTACAGACTTCATAGACCAGTGAGACACCCAAGACAGAGACACGAAGTAATTTGCACAAAGTCACCCAGCTTGTTGAGCCAGACCTAAGGCCAGGCAGCCTGATCCGGAGTGCACGTGGGTGCACAGATGCATGTCTGTGTGCGTGCGTCCATGCATGTCTGTGCACGTGTGTGTGCATGTGTGTGTGGTCCACGTGTGCGATTCTTCCCTCTGGGCCTCTAGTGGCCCATGCCAGCTGGTGACTCCCTCAGCCATCCCCAGCCAACCCACCGGCATCCGGATGGGGGGATGGATGGTTTCTGTGGCTGTCCCACCAGCTGCAGAGTGGCCTGGGAAGTCCCAGCCCTTTCTTCTCAGACTTTCATTAAGGGTCCAGGATCCCCAGGGGCAGACTCTTGTCCCCTCCCCGCAGACTCCTCCTGTGCGAATGACTGTGGAAGGGAAGGCAGAGGTGGTACCTGCGAACCATCTGCACTGGGACACCGTGCCCTCTAGTTATGATCATGGGCGATAGTGATCATCCCATGTAGATGCTGAGAAATTCTTAGAATGAGCGATGTTGGAAATCTGCTTGTGTGGGTGGCAAAGACATGAGAGGTCTAGGGAAGAGCAGATTTTCAGACAAGGCACTTTAGGGAGGGGGAGGTGCAGTCCTTTGGCCCAGAATGCCCATTGATGGAGAGGGTGTGTCAGGGGAGAGGGTATCTTAACCCTCAAGTGCCAGCGTAGTGATGAGGAAAGGCTGGCCTGGGCCTCCCACGGGCTGAGCATCCTTAGGCACCTCACCTGACTCCTCTGAGCCCGTGGTGCCTCCTTCACCCCGACCTACCTGCTGTCTACCTAGCTTCTCCTGGTGCCCACTTGAGCCCAGCTGAGGCCTCATGCCCTTGAGAGGCCTGAGGGTGGTAGAAGGACTTGGCCTGTGAGATCTGACCACGGCTGCTCCATTTCGCAGAAGCCACTCTCACGGGCTGCCACCAAAGCACAGGCTTCCCCCTTTCTGGGAACCTGCCTCCTGCCAGCTTCCTCTCCTGTGACATCACTTCTCTTGTGATCCGCCCCACCATTTCCACTCACTCCCAGCCAGTGGGGACAGGCAGAATCATGGGTTCCCTAGGCCAGCTGAAGCCACCCCCGACCTGGCCTGGCCTGGCTATTGGGTGGCCCTTGTGTTCTCTGGAGCCCTGGTGGCCAGTACAGCCGGCAGCCACAGACGCTCAGTGAGAATTTCAGTGTGGCTGACCTGAGCTGGGCTGGCCATGCAGGAGAGCGCCCGCTACTTCCTCCATGAGCTCACAACCTGACGTCAGCAGGTGCTTCAAAGAAGTCATTTCCTATACATGCCTTAAACCATGCCACAAGGGAGATATGATCACTCATTTTACAAATGTGAAAACTAGAGCTTGCTGAGGGTGACCCAAGGTCACACAGCTTGTTCCTGGGGCAAAGTCAGGCTGTCAGTTCAGCTCTGCAGCCCCAGGTCCAGAGCTCTGGCCATGCTGGGTGATGCTCTCCTCCCCTCTTCAGCACTTGCCTTCTGTGACCCTCCTTTCCCTTTAACCTGTTTGTAGATAAGGGCATGGTGGTGTGCACTCATCCACCCATGCACCCTTCCTTCCTTATTCCTTCTTGTGTTCTCCCCACCCTTCCATCCATCCACCCATCCATGCATTTATCCCTCCAGGCAGTACTTCCTGACAGGTCCCTTCCTGACAGGGTACCTCCTGGATGAGGCAAGAAGGAAATATTCCCCATATTCAACGAGGTGAGGAAGCAAGGCAGGCCACACGGTGCAAAAATGTGCCTTCAGACACTCAGTACTTTGTAGCCGAGATGAATTGGCAGGCATCGCAGCAGTCAGGCTTCTGGTGCTTCTTGGAGAGGGCTAGAGAGGAGCACTTGATGGACAGGAGGCCCTGGAGAGCCAGAGAATGTGCACCCTCTCCCAGAAAGCTCTGCAGCAGAAACAGAAAACTCAGATGCGCCAAGGGGCCAGGCCAGGGCTAGAGCCTATGACGGGGGTAGTTTTCCAGGCTCTTTTCTTTCTTTCCTTCCTTCCTTCTTTCCTTCCTTCCTTCTTTCTTTTTTCTTTCTTTCTTTTCTTTTCTTTCTTTCCCTTTCTTTCTTTCTTTCCTTCCTTCTTTCTTTCCTTCTTTCTCTTCTTCTTCTTCCTCCTTCTCCTCCTCCTCCTTCTCCTCCTCCTTCTCCTTCTTCTCCTTTTCCCTTCTTCTCCTTTTCCCTTCTCCCTTCCTCTTCTTCTGTTTCTCCTCCTCCTCTTCTTTCTTCTTCTTTTTCTTCTTCCTCTTCTTCTCCTTCTCCTCCTCCTTCTCCTTTCTTCCTCTTCATCTTTCTTCCTCCTCCTCCTCCTTCTTCCTCCTCTTCCTCCTCTTCCTCTTCTCCTTCTCCTTCTAGAGGAGCAAGAATCTGGATTATTATGTGAAATTAGCTCGAGACTCAATGAAGCAATTTCTACACGCTGCATAAACACATTGTCTTTATGCTGAGTGACTCCCCCTGGGCCACTAGATTTCAGCCCCTGCCTTGAATTCCTCTCTGGTGCTTTCTAAGCAGAAGCTTGTCCTAGGGGTCCACCACCACTACCCCTGCTCCAGGCCTCCAGAGTGAGAACCAAATGCCACCCAGGCAGACAGTTTCCCGGGTACGCGGTGAAGCCTTGGGGAAAGGTTGCTGCCAGCTACAGGCTGGTTCTAGGACTCTCCCGGGAGGTTAATAGAGAGAACTTCCTGTAGCAGGCACAGGTGCCTTTGCCTTACAGCCCCTGCCCAAGGCTTGGGTGACACTGCAGCCCTCCACGCAGTTGCTTCTAGGGTGAAACGTTCCACTCCCCTCCAACCCCGGCTTGGGTTCCTTCTCTGTCTCTCCACAATCTCCCTGTGACTGTGGGAGGGACACCCCAAGGCCCATGGGATGTGCTTGACTCCTCATTCCCCGGACCAGTCCTTTGCAACCCCTGGCTCCCCTGTCTACTTCCTGAGGTCCTTCTGTGAGGAAAACAATCCATGATAACTTTATAAACAGACATCAAAACCAGGGTTTCCTGGGTTTTACGAGGGCAAGAGGGCCGGGTTTGCTCAGGGGCGCCCCCTGGCGGTGCCTCATCCCCCACCGGCCCTGCTGGGCTGGGGGAACCACGGTGGGAGGCAGCGGCTCCCAACCTGCTCTGTCTCAGGACCCAGTTACTCTCTGCAAAATGAGCACCCTAAAGAGTTGTTGCTTATACAGGTTATAGATCTATACCTGTAGCATTAGAAATTGGAACAAAATTTTAAAATGTTTATTAATTCCTTTAATGTAATTATCAGCCCATTACACATTTGAATATAAATAATATTCTATGCAAATTAGTTGCATTCTCCAAAAGTAAAAACATTTAGTGGCAAGAGTACTGTCCTTTTACATTTTTGTACATTTCTTTAACAACTGGCTTCACAGACCACAGGCGGGACCTTCGAATCTGCCTCCGAGTTCCATCAGTCCCGATGTCACACATCACGTAGTTCTGGAAAACTCGTCTGTCACCTTATGAGAGAATGAGGGCAAAAAAGGCAAATGACATCTGAATGTTACTAAAAAAAAATGACTTTTGGACCCCAGGGGGTCCCCTGACTGTGCTCTGAGAACTGCTGGTTGGTGTAAGGGTAAGATCGTGATCACTGTGGCCAGATAGACTTATGGGGGTGCCAGAGTCTAGGCCAAGTCTGTGGAAGACATGGGGGATGTAGGGGGCTCAGACCTCAGAGCTACTGGTGCAGTGGGAATCAGGATCCCTCCCGCCAAGCAAGCTAGGTGAGCTCTTCTGGGCCCTGAGGCCAGATTCTGACGACACCTTGGCTCCTGCGCTCATGAGCCTCATCTGTAAAATGGGATGAGAGCAATTCCTCCCTCCCTGGGCGGAGGTGCTGCTTGAAACTCAGAATCCCCATGCAACGAGGCCTTGTGATGCCATAGCTGATGAGGCTCAGCCCCAGCCACACACCTTGAGATGTTAAAACAGCCTCAAAGCTCATCTTCAGCTGTTCAGTGGCTGGTGAATTGATTAACTTATTGAATGGTTAAGTGCTTACCACGTTCTAGAAGTTCTGGGGAAGTGCCTGGCCCCTGGGAATCATGGCTGGCTCCGAGGGGTTTGGATTTGCTGTGGGGTATCTCCATCGGCCCTCAGGGGTATTCCTGATGCTCTCTGGATTTCCTTCTGCTTTCTCTGCCAGGGGCATTTTCTGCTCTCCCTGCAGATTTCCAGCCTGCGCCCTGTGTGTGTTTTCCCCATCTGCAAAGCGCTCTGATTTGCTCTGTGGCAGGCATTTCTATGAGCTGAGGAAGCTGTCCCCGTCTGTTCTGCAAGCGTGTCCCACCTGGGATGAAAAGGAACCCCCGGCGGCTGTGGAGGGAGGGTTCCACTGTTCTCAGGGAGTGGTTACACCCACTCTGTGAAGGCACGCCGCTGCCCACTTACTCTGGGGGACGAGGTGCGCCGGACTCTCTGCAGGAGGAGCCCCTGGACCTATGACCTAGAGATGGGAGGGCTCCTACCTGTTCTCTGGTAGGAGAGAAAGACTCAGCCTCTCTGGAGGTTCCCCCACCTGCTCTGTTTAAACAAGTGTATCTTCTTGGTGGTGTTGTGGCAGGGGAGCAGGGGCGGTGTTGTCCAGCAGGGATGTGAGGGTGCTCCCACAGCTGGGGGTGGTCCCACCCCGTGAGGCCATGCACGGAGAAGGTGCTGCCCATCAGCACTAAGTTACTGGTCATGGGAGAAGGACTGGTCCTTCCCTCAAACCCACAGTGTCACAAGGAGGCAGGAAGGATGGTGCCTAAACGGGGAGCACTGCTGCCCCCTCGTCCCACACCAACCTCAAGGCGAATAACCTTGCACATCTGTGGACAGTAGGCCAGTCAAGGGCTTTTGCCTCGACTGACACATTGAAGCCTTTTGTCAGATTCAAGGTCAATAGAAATAATTTTTCCTTCCCTCCCTCCCTCCCTCCCTCCCTCCCTCCCTCCCTCCCTCCCTCCCTCCCTTCCTTCCTCTCTCTCTCTCTCCCCCTCCCTCCCTCCCTCCTTTCTTTTTTAGATGTAGTTTCGTGCTCTTATTGCCCAGGCTGGAGTGCAATGGCACAATCTTGGCTCACCAAAACCTCCACCTCCTGGGTTCAAGTGATTTTCCTGCCTCAGCCTCCAGAGTAGCTAGGATTACAGGCATGCGCCACCACACCCGGCTAATTTTGTATTTTTAGTAGCGACGGGGTTTCTCCATGTTGGTCAGGCTGGTCTCAAACTCCTGACCTCAGGTGATCCACCCACCTCGGCCTCTCAAAATGCTGGGATTACAGGTGTGAGCCACTGCTCCTGGCCAATTTTTCTTGTTTTATGAGGGAGGAAAGTGAGGCTCAAAGAAGGACCCTGACTTGCTAGAACCTCACAGTTCACAGGTCACTGTGACTAGAATTGAGTTTTATCTGGCAGGCAATGGGAAGCCATTGAAGAATTTTGAGCAGGGGAGTGATATAGCCAGGCTACTTTCTAGAAGATAACTCTGGGGGTGAACAGTCACCCAAGGGAGAAATCAGGGCAGAGGAGGCGCAGTGGGGGTGCAGCTCCCCCTGCCCCTCTGGCTGCCCTGTCCTTGCTCTGTGCACGGGACCCAGGAGACCAGCCAGTGCAGCCCTGAGTTGTGTCTGATTTCCCCCAGGCTGTGTGGCCTGCGCATCCTGCAGCCTTACGCCGAGAGGATCCCCGTGGTGGCCACGGCCGGCATCACCATCAATTTCACCTCCCAGATCTCCCTCACAGGGCCTGGTGTGCGGGTGCACTATGGCTTGTACAACCAGTCGGACCGTGAGTATGGGCAGCCGGGGGAACCCCCTGCAGTGACTCCCTGCCTCTTGGCCATCCCTGGAACCACCAAGGGGGCTGTAGGCAGCTGCTTATGAGGCCGAACAAAAGGAGAGAGAGAGAGAGAGAGAGAGAGTGTTTGTGCTTGCACAAATTTAT